TATCGCCCGCCAGCAGCGGGGTGTGAGCATGGACTACATTACACCCCCCCCCCCCCCAAAGCCATCGGCTGGGGGGGGGAGTTGGGGGGGTTAAACTCCACACATCTTAAACTTGCCAAGTTTGAAAAACACTAAGGCATAGGGGGAAAAAAACAAACAACCAAAGCCATCATTACCTCCACGCTTCCCTCTGGGAAGCCAAATCGCTTCTGAACAACGGCCGTCAGCTCGCGGATCCGGCGTCCTTTCTCCCCAAGAACATTCTGAGTTCTGAAATGCAAAGGAAAAGACTGGCATTAGGTCTATCATGCCGGGATAACCTTGGACCTTTCAAATATTTTATGCCATTAGTCTAACCTGCATTTAGCTGCTACTGAAATAATTGGGTATTGGATTTGACCCAGCAGAGCTCCTCTTAGAAGTGGCTCGTAAAAGCATTTCTTCTGCTCTATTCCAACAGACCCCCGCGCCCCTACGATTACCTATGCCGTGCTTACGTTCTGTCTTGATCATAGCAACCTGCTCTTGTGGGTGATCCGTCAAGACTGTCCAGGAGTAGCAGGCGGTAAAAAATGGAGCACCTCAGCTACTGACTCGTGGAAAGAGGAGGATCATATGTTGTCTGTACTGAAAGATTTGCACTGGTTGCCAATTCAATTCCATTGAATTTCAATGGAAATTCAAGGGGTTGCTTTTGATCTTTAAAGCTGTAAATGGCTCAGGAGAACTTTGTACAATGACATCTTGTGCACCAGTTGTGAACTTTCCTGGACTAAGTGGCCTTGCACACACAAACACTCATGTCCTTGGCATCTCGTGACTGGACTGCTGCAATTCACTGGGCTGCCCTTGAAGACCACCCACTGTAGGCAGAGACCGAAGTTAGTCTACGGTGGCAAAAAATCAGGTATCCAGTAGTACCTTTTCTGAATAAAAATGTTATTACAAGGCACACATTTTTGTGAGCTGATAACTTAGTCTTTTAATAAAATTTGCTAGTCACAAAATATGCTACCTGATTCTTGATCTGAAGACCACCTAGAAGCTCAAACGGATTCAGCCTGGGTAATGACAGGTGCATCTAGATTTGGCCATGTAACAACTTTACCAAGCCTTGCATGGCTGAGGGCTGGTTATATTCAAGACTATCTATTCCAAAATAAACTGCTCATCCTGTAAGATCTGGGACAGAGACCCTGCTTAGGGTCCCACCTCCACCCTTAGTAGGGCCATCTTAACTTCAGCAGATTAATAACCAAATTAAGAACGAATGCAGCTGTTGCTTCTGCACAAAGATACTTCCTCCAATAAATGGGGGGAAGCTTGCAACCACATGACAGCGAGACCATACAAATCACCTGGTGGCGAGGATGATGATTTCTGTCCTGGTTGGGGTAACTCGGACCTCCACCCCAGAGTAGCCATCTTCAGCCAGCTCCCGAGTCAAAAACTCATTCAGTTCAGCTTTGAAGATACCATCTGCCACAAACTAAAGCAGAATGCAGATCGTGAGATAGCAACCCAAGCATAACTCTGCAGACCCTCTTCACTTCGAGGAACAAAGCAATGCCCGCCCCCATAACCTGCCATAAATACAAGCTACCACCTTGGAAATGGGAGAGGGTCATAGTGCTTGATAGCTGAGGTCCCAGATGCCTATACAGCAATATGCAGGCCTGGTACCGTTAAGATGCCTGATGTTTGCTTGCAAACAAAAGGCTTCGTCACTAGTGCTCAGAAGCAAGACAACATGGGTTTCTATTGTTATTAAAATCATGAATTCTGCTTTTGTTTCTCTGCATATACAAGGAATCAATCACATCTCAAAAGAGAGTGGTAGGCCAGATCTTAATTGTCTATGTGGTTTGATTCTGGAGGCGGGAATAGGATATAGGTACCCATTCCCTCCCCTCAGCAAAAAAAGTATTTTACAGCACAGTCTGGTGCAGTGTTTCTCAACCTTGGCAGCTTTCGGGTGTGTGGACTTCAACTCCCAGAATTCCCCAGCCAGCCTTGTCACGCGCTTGCAGAGCAAAAACAGAAGAGGAGAAGATTTTTTTGGCCATTTTCTGGACCAGGCTACCCCAAAATTGCCCTCTCCAAAGGACCAACCTGGTTTTTCTAACTCCACACCTACAAGCATCTATTCCGCCAGCAAATACTCACGTGACAAATTACAATTCTTGTAGGACCCCCTTATTCCTAACCTGTGTAAATCTGTTTTCTGCTCACATCCTTTAAAGAAAACCCATGCTTACAATGGAACTGTAACACAGCTCCTACAAAATACTATCATTGTTATGCCCCGTAACAATTGTTGGGTCCCTAACATTTGTCCCCTCTCGCCCAGCCAAGCCAGAATTTCTGGAGGTTCCCCCCAAATATACAGAGCTCTTTGGCCATATTTTTTTCCTCTCTCATTCTCTTCTGCATATCCCTTTACAATATATCCAAGGCAGAAAAAGCAGCTGCATGGAGATTTCCTCCTCAGTGCTGCCAGTTTATCCATTGGGGAAGGCTTCTTTAATAGAGCCTCCATGTACAATGGCAGGGCATGCAAAACACCCATCACTGAAGGCAGAGAAAGCCCCCATTCCCTTTTGCCTCCTTCGGGGCCTGCTCAGGCTTCATCCAACAGGTTCTTCCCTCTGTCCACCTCAACACTCAGAACCGGTGCAGTGTAGCAGTTAAGGTGCTGGTCTGGCACTGGAGAGACCCAGGTTCGAGTCACACACCCCTTCCCCGCCACTCAGCTACAGAAACTCCTTGGGGGACTTTGGCCCTGGCCCTCTCTCAGCCCGGCTCACTTCACAGGGATGTGGGGAAAAGGGAGTGGAGCTTACTATAGAAACCACCTTGAGCTCCTAAGCAGTGTTTTTCAACCTTGGCGATTTTAAGATGTGCGGACTCCCCGCCTACCCTCGCCTTCAGAAGCCCCCAGGTCCCTCTGGGCCTCTCTGGCTCCGCCCAGCCTACCTCACAAGGCCGTTGTTGGAGCTGGACCGCGAGGACCCGGGTTCAAGTCCAGTCTCAGTCACTCTCTCGCGCGCCAACCTACCTCACAGGGCTGTTGTGGAGGAAAATATGTCCTACGCTGCGCTTAGATATAATAGTACTGAATATTAGCACGTGCTGCTCTAATAAGCATCTGCACTAGAGCTATCAGGCAGCTTCCGGCCGCAGCCGGCGCGTCTAGTCTGGGCCGCGCCGCCTCGTTGGCCCAACCAGACCCAGCTACGACTTGGGCCGGAGCCGCGGGGAGATGGGGGGGTCAGCCTCAATCCACTCCCATCCGAGGGTCCCGGCACCGCAGCACGCCCACCGCGCCGCTCCACCGAGCCGCCCGACCCCCGCACCTTCTCCCGGCCGTATTTCTTCCCCCGCCGCCCAGCCAGAGGCTCCACAGGGCCCCGGAGAGCTTCACCTTTCGCTTCTTGGAGATCTGTACCGCCATCTTTAGCCGCGCCGCTCTGGCGAAAAAGAGGCGGCTTCCGCCGGCGCAGAGGATTATAGGGCTGTTCTTCCGTCCTTTATTGGTCAGGTGGGATCACGTGGACGGAAGGAGCCCCGAGCCATGCTGGGAGATGTAGTTGATGTTGTTTGGGAGCCGGCTGCTCTCTAGAGGGAAAAAGCTTTAATGATTGTTCACTACTTCCCATTGGTCGAGCTGATCAATGGGATGTACCAGTGGGTTATGGGAAATGTAGGCTGATCGTGAAAATAGTTTACCTGTGCTTTGAGATAATAACAACAATAATGGCGATATTTATCATCATAACCATCAACAACCACAATTATCATTATCATCATCATCTTAATATCTGCCCCCGGGAATGATGAGGAGTAAAGTATATTTCATCTTCCATCAGCCAGGAAATCTAGAGCCTCCATGTGCAGAGGCAGTATAGCTGTGAAGCTTCTTTGTCAGAGATTATTTATTTATTTATTCGATTTGTATAACCGGCCGCCTCACAAAAGTGACTCTGCGAATGGGAAACAATGGGAAATGCTCCGCGGCATTCTTTCCCCCATCCATGCGTTTCACTCATGCTGTGTTGCCACCTTCTCAACTAACGCCTGGCCATTCCAGCCCTTTATTTATTTTATTTATTTATTTCAAGATTTATGAGGCCACCAACGGTGTGACTCTTGGTGGCATACAACAAAAATATATACATATATAATAATAATAAATGAACATATATGCTATGTATATGTATATATAGCATATATATACAGACATATACACGTGCATATATATGATATATGTGTGTGTGTGTGTGTGTGTATGATTGAGATATGAGGGCTGTTGTGGGGAAAATAGGAGGAGCAAACGGTATTAGGCCTGTCCGCTGCCTTGAGTTATTTATAAAAAATAATAAAGGTGGGATAAAAATCTAAAAATAAAAAAGCCCAACAAGGTCGCACCCAGGGAGTCACCAGCGTCAAACTCAAGTTTAGGTCCCGCCATGCAAATCCCATGACGCCATCGTCCCCCGCAAGGATGTCTGATGGGGCGGGGGGGGGAGCCTCCTTGCTTCCAAACAAGGGTCTGGGGGCTTCAGAAATCATCCTGAGGGTGGCCCGAGAAAAAATGCTGCACGAAGGGGTCATTTGCAGGAGGCACCACAGGAGGGCACGAGTGCCCCATGTGAGGGAGAGGCGGCGGCTGGGGCAGCCTTAGCAGGGGACCCGGTGAAGGGGGTGGGAGGGAGCCGCTCCCAGTCATGGCACACAGTTCCCCAGCTGCATCATGTGCTGCATCATGGACCCGTCTCTTCAGTTTGCGCTCCGTGCTAGGCTGTCCATGCAGCCCTGACCCAGGTTAAGCGTCGCATGTCATGTCTCTCACCATCCTGGTTACCGTGTTGGGCAAG